TTTACTTCTCACACTTCTGGAGGCTGCAGAGTCCAAGATTAAGGTGCTAGCACATTCTGTCTGCTGAGCCCCCTTTTCCTGATTTGTGATAGCTGTCTTCTTGCTGTATTCTCACATAGCCCAGAGATGTTCTCTCACATTTTTCTTTTAAGGCTCTAACCCCATTTATGAGGACACCACGTTCACGTCCTTATGATGCTGGGGTTCTTGTTCACTGAGCCAAAGAATGAACTTCGCAAACACTCAAGGTTGGAGGGCAAGGCAGAGGCTTTTATTTAGAGAGAAAGCGAGAGGACGGAGCTCCGGGCTCATGCCAGGAGGAGACGAGCCCTGGATGGTGCGCTGTCTAGGGGTTTTATAGGCGGTTGAGAGACAAAGGACTAGGGATGTACACCTGTTAAGTGGTCCCAAAATGTTTACCTTTGAAGAAACGCTAAGTTTCCTATAAGCCTTCCTGGTTATTCACAAGAAATTTACTGCTCTGATCTCTCAAGGCTGCCTACTTTGCTCTGAAGGTGGGCTGAGTTATTGTTTGTTAAGAAACTTACTTTTTAACTAATTGGGTTTTAAAATACAATCTTATTTTCAAGACGGAATCTTTCCTGTTTTTACTATGTTGTTTTGGGCTTGTTTGCTACATTGCCCAAGTTGCAAATCATTTGTTTAGGGCTGGAGGAAGCAAAGCAGCACCTGGGTAAAGTCAGAAAAACAAGCTGGGCCCCTCAGCAGGCCAAAGCAAATCCCACACTGGATTATCTTGCTATATCCCCTCCTGCCCCCCACCACCCCAGGCCCTCACCCTACCCTGTCTCACTAATCACTTCCCAAAGTCCCCAACCCCTAATACAATCACACTGGGCATCCGGTATCAATCCCAAACAGGCAGTTCAGGCCACCCTCCTCTTGTTTTGACTATCATCTACTTAAGAAGCTTAAAGGTACATAACAGAAACTGTTAGGAAATCATTCAAGGCATCGTATAATTTCTGAAATGTAGTTCCCTCTATATTTTAGAAAGGTTTGTGTTGCTGACAAAAATACGTATGATAGAAAGGGAAAAAAAGGTGGGTAGGGGGTGGGAGGAATCCAGGCAGAGAGAATAGAGCTGGAGAGACTAGCAAAGGAAACGCGGAGGTGGGGTGGGATGCGAAGGATCTGCATAGATCTGCCTCAGATCTTCCTAGAGACCCAGCAAAGAGGAGCTCCTCGCCTTTACAGGCCTCAGCAGGTCAGAGGGAAGACCAAGCCAGTTGCTCGGAAGAGGCACCGCTTTCCCGGTGGCCAACACCGCCGCCGGCGCTGGGAGGAGTCCTCGCGTGGTCCCTCATCAGGGAGACCGACCTGCGGCAGTGCAGGGCACGGTCCTAAACAACACCACGTAAGAGCTGCGGCCGGATACTGCCCAAGGCGGCTTGCCTCTGCCGCGCTCTGCAGCGAACAACCCATTCTGAGCGACTCCTTGGTGAAAGCGACTCCCCTGGGGTCAAACTCGTCCGAGAGCACAGCCATCGCACGATCCAGCTGATGGTCATACGGCTCGTAACATGCAGATCAACGAAGGAACTAGGTGTTCTTCATTCATCCCTCCATACACATAATTTCCCCCAAATCAAGCTTTTCTGACTGCTGTCAAAAGAGGTCGTAGCCTTGGGGAGGAGCTGGGTGGCAGGATTCAATTTCTCCTTTGAAAATTACGGGGCTGAATCAAGACCAGCGCCTGCAAAGGATGAGAGAAGGAAGATCATTTCCAAGTAGGCCCTACGTTCACACTTAGAGGGAATGCGAGGAAAAGGGGGGGAAAGGAGAAAATCTCGGCCTGCGCTGGCACCCGAGGCTCGGGCTCCAGGAGAGGCTGCGGCGGGCAGAGCGCTGCAGGGTCGCCCAGGCTCCGGGGGCGGGGACGGCGTGGGAGCCGCTGCCCCGTCTCCACCTGGATCTGGGTGATAAGCCCGGGCACTGGCGCCTGTGAGTAAAGATACGCTTGCACTAACGGCTTAAATTTCAGGACCATCTTAGTCACCACTAAAAATTTGGTTTAATTTGAGAAAAGCAAATTTAATCTAATGGAGAACCCAGATAAGGAAAGCGAGAGGATTATTCTGAGGTGGTGGGTTATTTCTGTCTCTAAGTGCATGACTCATAATTCTACTGCTTCTCAGGCCCCATTTCTCTGAACCGTGGGAGATGGAATGGAGGGCTATTTTCATGGAACATTATCTCTACATGAACTATTATTGTTATTAATCTCCTTTCATGCTTTAGCAATGGAGTAACTGACAACTGTTTTTTTTTGTTTTTTGTTTTTGTTTTTTTTTTTAGTATAAGGACTAAAGTAGAAAGAGGGAGTTTAAATGATGGCCCAGCTTTCCAACACACACTTCTCTCTCTTTCCAGAACAAGAAACTCTAGCAGAGGAATACAGGCCTCCAATCCAACCCTTCCTAGCCAAACCTGAATCTTCTCTTCTCCGGACCAGATGTGGGGTTCTTTCACCAGTGCCCCTCCACCATTCCTCTTGTTTTCTTCTTGAT